CCTCTGAACGACTCCCCTAAGTAGCCCACTCAGTCTCGACACCTCACACCGTAAATCCTAAACCCTGAACTCTAAGTCTAGGACATTTTCAGGTGGGTAGTTACCGTTATAGGAGCCTTATAGAAGCTCTATATACTTTATGGAAGCCTTATAGAAGCCCTATATACCCTAAACTCCCCACCTGTAGTTTCCTTTAACTAAGTAAACCCGACATCCGAAAGAACTTCAGCTGAGGAGCTCGAGTCGGTCTCGTGGAGGAGCTGAAGCCGCTGTACAAGGCGAGAGGTGTGAGTTCAATAGGGTTTAGGGTTTAGGGTTTAGGGTTTAGGGTTTAGGGTTTAGGGTTTAGGGTGAGTTCAACAATCAGGTGTACCTGGACCCTGACGTGTAGTATGCTTTGTTGGGTTGGTTTCTGCTTCTAGGATCCTGGGTTATCCAAACAAGTATTACAATTCTAGGGGTCTAGGTAGAGGGGGGTTATCTCCAAGTCAAGAGGGCAGATATAGTTCCCACACCCCCTTCAGGGGCCACCGCCCACCTAGTGTGGGTGGGCTGGGCCGGCTGGGCTTAAGCCCCTCGCAACCGACCTGGACCTAAACCTTGCACACGAAACCCTAAACCTTCAACCAAAGCCCTGAACCCATAAACGCTAAACCCTAAGCCTCAACCCCTAAACCCCAAACCGTTAGATATGAGGGCTCCGGGCTTCCCGCCCTCGTTCCCATGATTCGTCATTTGTGGGACACGAAGGTGTCAGAGCCTACTGGGGCCTGGAAGGGGCCGAAATAGTTACTTAATATCTTTTGGGGGTCCTTATTAGAACTATAGTAGAATATGATTACCCCAAAACCTTGTTCTAATTATTAAGGCCCCAGCGTTCGATCCCTGATGAATCACTGACGAACAAACCCCTCTTCTTAGTGGGCCTTGATATTATTTGGATCCTGGCTATAAAGCTTATCGAGGCACTTGTAAGTACCTTAATAGCAATTAATTGTTGGTAGAAGCAACGGAACGGAATGGACATTCAAACTACCAATAACCGTTGTTTGTAGCGAAGGCATTCATGCCACTAGCACAGACAAATTGGGGCCGGGGTTGAGAATCGAGCATCTAGGGTTTACGGCTTCTAGCTTTCATGTGGCTTGGGGTCCGGTGTGTGTACACGGCCAAAGAGCACACTACGCTCATTTCAGCCCAAAGACTGATCGCGTGACACACCGGCGTGTCGAAGTAATTTAGAGAACTCAAATATAAAAGAAGTGTTAGGGGCTACAGTCTGCTGTCATCGTCATAGTACCGGAGCTACGTAGGGATAACCTTATTCGTCATTCCGACCCCTAGAGAGTCTGTCTCTGCAGGGTTCAGGGTGGAGGGTCAATGTGGACGGCTTAAGACCAACTACGAGCCTCGGTGTCTCTTTTTCTGATACCCTATCAATTGGCATGCTCATTTTCCCAAGTCTTGGACATACAGACAAAGCAGACCATACATCCTAAACCACATAGCTATAGGGTACAATTAGTGAACGGTTTCGGGTTTAGGGCTGATATAGAGTCTAAGCCCCAGAAAAGGACACCCTAAACTAGACTGCAGTTCCTGTTGCCAGGTGCAATGGCTTGATGCGAACGACTGCAGCAAAGGCGGTGTCGTACGGTTCTGGATTTACAGTGCTTTACGCTTCAACGCGGATGAGTCCCGAACACTTTGGTTGGGGGCATTCCTTGGACACGAATTACCCAACTTCGACGAACCCCAAAGAAAAATAGGAATTGAGCTTGCATGGACCCAGACCAAATAAAACAGAAGCCCGCCTCCCAATGCCCAAGACCCCCTGAACCCTTATTAAGCCCCAATCCCTTAGCGCTTTCATCCCTACAACATGAAATGCTTTTCAGACACACTTCCGGTGACTGCAGGATTCGACTACCTCTGCCCTAAACTTCCCTTTGCTGCAGGCTTCGAATACCTCTATCTGACCAAAGCAGACTACGAGAAGCTCCCGGCAGGAACTGTGGAGGCCATGATCTCACTCAGTGCAGGATTTCACACCCAGGGTTGTTGGGTTCGTGAACTTTAAGATAATCAGGGTTGTTGGGGTCTCGGGTTCAGGGATGTGTTGAGTTCGGGTGGTTTGCGACCGGGGTTCCTTAGGGTCGATACATTGGTCACGCTTGCATGTCGTCTGCACGAATGCCATGCGCCACCTCGGACCCCGGTTGCCTATGTCGTGGGTTGCTGATCCTCTTAACCCCAAAAACTCTTTACAGCACCCATTACCTAATAACCTACAACGAAGACAAGGAGCCCTACAAACCATGTAACTGTAAATACAGCCGATCTGGTGGGGACTGTAGCGTAGTGCGGCGGTTCTGACTGCAAGGGCTGGCTTTCTTTTCTCAGTGGAAGACTGAGCAGGGGTCGCAAGCTTTTGCCGCTTGTCGGTCAGTTTCCAGAAGTGGCTCTGCGCTACATTGCGTTCGTGTCACATGAACACGAATGCGGTGTGATGATGATGGATGACAGCTGATACAGCACTGCAGAGATTTTGCCAACCAAAACACCATAACTTCATCGATACCCTACAGTTCCCCAATTTCCGGAAAGCTACGATAGAATAGGCATCAACGAGCTCCCAACAACCCCTCGCAGGCACACAAGGTCTCGCAGGGCGGGGAGGAGCGGTACGTGCTGGATGCCATCATTGGCGAGGGCCAGAAGAGCACACAGCAACTGAGCTGTATTGTGTTTTTCGCTGTTCAAGTATCGGGTTTAGGATGTCGTTCTAGGGTTTATAGGCCTTACAGCTTTAGTGTCAGGGTTGGGGCTTTGTCAGGGTTTCATGTTTGGTGAGAGGAGCTTGATGAGGGTTTGGTATGCAGATCGGCTTAGAAAGCACGCTGGGACTAGGGCTCAAGGTGAGGCGCCGAAGTTTGGGGCTTGGTTTAGGGTTTATAGGGTTCAGGGTCTGGGGTTCAGGGTTTAGCGTTGAGGGTTGAGGGAATGTCTACAAATCTCAATTAGAAGCGTTGGGCCATGATTTGACTTATACTTTTGAGGGCTTACGTACAAACTGTCATCTCAGGGGCGGCATCGGCGTGGAGAATTTGCAGGGAAGCGGTCTCATCGCTGGCGAAACCAGCCGGGCATACCAGGAGAGCTTGTGTGACTTGATGCCGATTGGGTTTGGTGAGTGGTTTTGAGCTTCGAGGATGTAGAGAGGTCAGGATTTACAGTCTAGAGCTGTTTTAGGATTTCGGAAGCTTGCGTTTTGCGGTTCGCGAGGCTTCTCATGCTGCGAAGTGAGAAGGAGTTTCGGAACCGATACCTACTATCTAAGCCGATATCAGTGGTTAATGTACTGAGTGTGGAGAATCGGTACCGGCACCTGTTACCAATACCAATACCCCTCTCTAAAGGTCCGAAAGTATTGGTGAAAGGTCCATAATTGGCCCCCCTAACCTTTATAAACCCTAAACCTCCAACCATCAAACCCCTGCACCCGAGAACTTCTGCAGCGGCACCCTAAACCCGAAAGCCCCGAAACCTTGTATCCCCAATCTCAAGGCCTTAAAGCCAAGAATTTAAATACACATATCCAAATGGGTCCATGTACCCAAATAGTATATACTTCGGCTCCAATGTACATATATATGGAGTACCTTAAGCACAAAGTATATAATATTTGGGTACATCGACCTTTAGGGTAATGCAGGTCCTACAGCAGTAGGATCCTTGTCACGCGGACTCCAAACGACTGTACTACTTTGTCGGGAAGTTCCCGAGGAGGACGCTTATCTGTCGGAGCCTTAAAGCGCCGAAGCGCAGCCCTCGTGCAGGAGACCTTTACCCTCTCCTACATCACGGGGCGTTCCGTGGGTATCGGTGCCTACCTGAACCTGGGCTGTCATGAGAATAAGTCTTTTTTCTGGTGTGTGTACTCTAGAAGCCTGATTCCTTGTTGCTTTTATCAAAGTGCAATCATATACCCCTTAAACCTATTCAGCCTGTTCTGATTGTCAAGAGGGTGTAGGTCTATATTGTAGGGTGTTAGGGGTACCCCGAGACAAAGAACTATCCGAAACGCCGTACACAGCTTGGTTTTTCGGGGTTGAGAAAGCCTTGAACATCCTTGAACTACGGGGGTCCTAGCAGAAGTATGGTTTATGTTGCGAAAAGTCCTTCAGGATGGAACTTGGTGGGTGTACGGTTTTCGTGTTATTTCTGGGGGGATGCTGGTAACAACACTTCAGCCTCATGTGTGGTTTTAAACTGGGCCCTAAACTTTGCGTAGTGCCTCGTCAGGCTAAACCCTAAACCCTTTACCCTAAACTCTGAGCCGCAAACCTCAAACCCCAAACTATGTGCCCTAAACGCAAGACCCTAGGAACCGCCTGGGTCAGCGGAACATTCAGATGGTCCGGGGCCTCGGTCTCACTCTTCTTTCCCAAAGCCTCTGAGGGACACGACAAAGGCATGAGCAGGCACCATGTCTTGACTCACAAGAAGACAGGACAACTGCTGTTGTTATGATGATGTTCATCAGCACTACTACTGAATCTTCTTTTTTGTCGTCTCAAACAACTGTATGCATTCGTATGCAAACCTTACATACTCCGATACCTTCTTGAGGGGTGTAGGGTGTATAGGCTTTAGGGTTTCAGGTGCTGGGGCCCTTAGCTTTTAGGATACACTGTTTTGACATTTTGTTGTTCTGAAAGCAGGAACTGTGCTCAATATGCCTGGCCTTCTCCGATTCCTAAGCCTTAGACGGAGCCTTGACTTAAGAAGCGCAGAAGCAATTTCCGAAGAAGACAAGGGTTTAGTTTAGGGTCAAAGAACTGCTAAGAGATGAGGTCAGCAGTCCCATGATCCTCACGGGCTATGCGGCCTTGAACAAGCTCTTGGGCAAGAACGTCTACTCCTCCCAGGAGAGACGATGCATGAGGGTGGCCTAGACCCCAACCCCCCCTCTTTCGCCGAATGCAACATGTTGTACTGTTTTTGACCTTGAACCCTAAACCCTAAACCTAAACACTTTCCCCGAATTCAAAGCTGTGTTGTTCAGGTGGTTTGATTTGCATGGGTCCATGGATCCTAGAGCCTAAACCATGTTGGTTTGGTGCTCAGGAATGTTCAAAGCAGCACCAAGCTCTTTACTCAATCCGTAAGTACATATTTCATATCCATCAGCTTGAAGCCTATACACACCCTAAACCCTAAAACCAAAGCCCTTTAACCCTAAACCTGAACCCCAATTTCTACACAGCCTAAACCCTAAAACCCTCGACCTGCCCTCTAAACCCTAAAGCCTCAAACCCTCACCGTAAAACTCTAAACCGCCGGTCCCTAAAACTCGAAAGCCTTGGCCAGGACCAGCTGGGAGGACCCCAGATCATGGTTCCCAACGGTGTCACGCATCAGGCCGGCGCAGGGCCAGATGCCTTTTTGTTTTTTTGGGGGGCCGAATGGTTTAGGGGTCAGCGTGTGGGTGGAGGGGGTTAGGATGTATAGGGTTGAGGGGTTAGGGCTTAATGAGTCTACAAACTAGTACGGCAGAGCACAGCCCGCCTCGTGGCGCACCGCGTTGACTCCTTTTTGTCCACTGATTGACAGACTCTTGTGCCTGAAAGCGGCAGCAAACGTTCGGCTTGGAAAGGGAGAGCTTGGAGAAAGACGTGTCCGCAAGACTCAACCCTAGATTTACATTGGTTCAAAGACTTCGCCTGATGTCAACTTGATCCCCAGCTAGATCTCCTGCCACCACTGTACAGCTTTCAGAGGTTTGGTGAGCAGGCCTGCTAGCTGGATCTCTGTTGGGGTCCATGTGACGTAAGTCGCATCTTTCTGTAGTCTCTTCCGACCGTTTTGCTCCTCTTTCTCACATTCTCTAGTTGCTTTCGAGCGGTTGGCTGCTTGTTTTCAAGCTCTTCAGTCTCTAGTATTTTTCCAGAGTCTCTAGTCTCTTCCGAGCGTTTTGCTCCTTCTTCTGAAATTCTCTAGTTCCTTTCGAGCGGCTTGCTCCTTGTTTTTCAAGGAGCTTCAAATTGTAAACATTCCCCACTGCGGCGAGCAGGTTCAGCTCTGCGCTGTCCTCCAAGCCCATCCTGTCCACCAGGACCGAAGCAGTTGCCAGATCAGGCAGAACGCAGCCGACCTCATTCAAGCGAGCCAGGCTCCGATCAAAGTCGGACAGATAGTCCCTGACGGACTGTCCCGGTTTCCTCCTCAACTTCCGCCCAACCTGGGTGAATTACCTGTCCTTGACCCACGCGATCAGGTAGTCCCTGCAGTCCCCGCCAGAAGCCTCGGCCAATCGGTCCACACTGAGGCGTTCGGCCCCACTCTGGCCTTGCCTGACAAGTGTTGGTACAGCGTGAGCCCATGTGCCTCCGGTGCCATCCGAGTCATGTGGCGCCGCGCCGCGATCCCACAAGAACGTCTACGGTTCAGCGTTTGGTCCTCTGCTGGACGAAGGATTTCAACAACCATAGTATCTGATCCACCCCAGTCCTTCTCTACTAGTAAAGGGGCCTACACCCAGACGGTCTTGGGGTACCTGGCTTTATGGTTAGGATCTCCTATATAGATGAGTCGGTACGCTTAAAAATGGGGTAGGGCCTGGCCCTCTACGGCCTTAGGATTTGTCTTACTTGGCTGCCAGTAGGCTTCAAGCTCTCTAGGTCAAGGAATGTTCCTCTGCTCTGCATGGGGAAACCCTCAGCCCGAAACCCTGGTCGGGCATCTGTTTTCCGACGGGTGCAATTCAGGGATAAGACATCAGGAGGCTTTTGATTTGAAGCCTTCTTGGTCTAGAGGCAATAAGCCTTTGGTGACAAGGCCCCAAACCCCTATACCCTAAACTCCCTCAACCCCTAACCGCCCTCCCACCTCCTAACCTGAAGCCTGAAGCCCTTCGAGCCTTCAACTCAGCCAGGTTTCAACATAGGAGGGTCCCAGGAAAGTTTGAAAGTCCCGATGAAGTCGTTGCTTGTTGGGTATCCAGGTCGTGCGAGACGACCAGGAGGCCTGACTCTATGCTTGGGGTTGAGGGTTCATGGTTTAGTTCAAGGCTTATGTACAGGGTTTAGAGTTTGGAGGTGTGGGCTTAAGAGTTAGAGGTTTAGAGTCTTGGCAATCGGGATCTAGGATTCAGGGTTTAGGAATTTTGGCTTATGATTCTTGGCTTGGAGTTCGGGTCTGCAGCATAAGGTTGATGGCTCAGGTTTCAGGGTTTGGGGTTTAGGATTCCGGCTGCCGCCATTGTTGGTGTTGGAATCTTATCGGTTAAAGAGCTTGTCAGAGTTTTGGGCATGGGCGCTGGTGGAATTATTCAGGGGCCAAGGTTTAAGGGGTTTGGAGCAGCGGTCTGGGTCGTGACGGGCAAACCGGCTGTGCCCCATTCAAGGCCACCCAACGAATCACTGGCTGAAAAGAAGCGGGAAGACTCAGACTAGAACTAGGCCGAGGCTGCTGTAGGGGGTTGATGACATGAACTGCACTATGTTTGCACACAGAGACCATGTAGACGAGTTCGAGATACAGACTTAGGCCTGGCTATGACAACTGGCCGCTGGACCGCAACAAGTCCCGAAGCCAGAATCAGGAGCTGCTGTGTAAGGAAGAACTCAGCAACTCCTTAGATCTCTAAGAGACAAGCGTCGCCAGATCCCCAGCTCCGGCCTTCTCTTTCTTAATGGTACTGTACTGCAAACGCTAGAGTCCAAACAGTTGATTGGATCGAAGTTGAGATGGCAGCTGAAGGCGCAAGTGATTCCGGAGAGAGCACCGCTGTTGTAGAGCGGCTTTACACTTGAACACCCTAACCTGAGAGGGCATGGGCGCCATCCTCGATTGGCTCTCCTATGTGCCCAAGGTGGGGAGAATCAGCAACGGAGCTGGGATGATGACTTCTCTCATACTACCAAGCTTTTCTGTTTGTTGGGTTTCGTATACATATAGCATGATTCTAAAAGCTGACGGGGTGAGCTGGGATTTGGGGGGTCTTTCGGGTGTAAGTTCGGGGTTTAGGTTGTCAAGGCTTTGGACGACTTCAAGAACTGCTTGTTTATAAAATTTGGGATTATAGGGGCTAAACTCTGTTATGCGGATGTGAATGATTCAGGAAGTATTCAGGATGTTGGGGATCATAGGGTTGAAATCATTTTATGCCGATGTTTATAGTTTATGGTTCATGTTGTTGAGCTTGGAGTTCGAAATCGCGGCCAATGTTGAAGGCAGGATTCGGGTGGCGTTCGTAACGATTTGGTGGTCATCAGTGTGGCAGAAAGTACAACTGGCATCAGCATTATATGATTGGTGCGCACTGCAGCGAAACGCCCATTCCATGTTGGGAATATGCGGCAACAGCTTGTTGATACAGGATTCTGTAGTCTTGGGTCTAGGGCTTGGTTGAGTCGGAGACTATGACACTACCTGTCTGCAGCTAGGAGCATTCTCGAAGGGTGAGACCCTAAACCTATGAACTTAGGCCCCCCCAATTGCAATCCCAGATGCCCCCAGTTCTGAACCGCAGGATGTTTCGTGCCTGCCACCGGTTTGCCAGCCGCTCAAAGGGTCCTGCTTGCAGAATTAGAGCGCTCGGTGAAAGTCCGCTATATCCCTAAGCCCTAAACCCTAAACCCTGGCGTTTGGGTGCACATGAATTCGGACCCTGCAAGATAGAAGATTGTTGCAGATTGTGGAAAGCATGTCTCGACCCCGAATTTCCTATTTGCAAGGGACCTCTTAGGATGTAGGGTTGAAAGGCCCATGGCATTTAGATGGTACCCCCGGTCCGAAGTGTTTTTTCGTGCGGGGAGCAGGAGTGTCGGAGTCTCTCTCTCTCTCTCTCTCTTTATCTGTATATGTATTTATTTATTTATTTAAGTAGTCACCAAGCAGTCCATGCAATTCTGCCGTGTTTTATGAACCCCCCCTTGAACCAGCATAGCCTACTTTTTGGTATGCCCTCACTACATCCCCTGTCCCTAACATAATCTTCGTCGGAACTTTACCCGACAAAAAAAGAGGTTTCGGTAGTTTGCGATAAGCCCTATAAATCCTCCAACCTTAGTATAGCCTGGCCTCGGCTAGAAGTCCCAAGTCTTCCAAGCGGGGGTGGAGCGCCGGAAGTCTGAGACACAGAGAGCCCACAGTTTGGGGGCTTAGGGTTTAGGGCTTAGGGGTTTAGGGTTTAGGGTTTAGGGGTTTAGGGGTTAGGGGTTAGGGGTTTAGGGTTTAGGGTTTAGGGTTTAGGGGTTTAGGGTTTGGGGTAACGCAGAGAGCCCGCAGCTTTGCATGTTGCTTCAAGTTGGACTCTAGGCCAGAGTCTGGTAGTATAGGGGTCGGGAAAGTTAGCAGAATCATCCGCTTCAAGTCCGTGATATGGTTATACTGTAATAGGCACCTAAAACTTTAGCTATTACCCTGTTGATGATATGAATCCTGCGTTACCTTCAGGACCCTATGTAAAACTATGAGAATCATGGTATATTCCTTATGATGGGCAATGCAGGAATTATATCATCAACCTTAGTTATTGAGGCCATGTTGTTGGATTCTTTCAGGGCTGTAGGCTAAACATGGTTTTGGGCTTCAGAGTTCTGACGCGAAGTCCCCGGAGCGTCCACACTGACCTTGCAAAATTAAGTCCCCAAAGACCATGCTCGTTCTCTGCTTTGGGGACTTAGTTTAGGGTTTAGGGACCCGGTATAAAAGGGCCCGATTACATGCGAAACCCTCCGAAAGCAGTTGAAGGGTCGTCTGGTCCATCAGAAGTAAAGGGCTCAGCAAGGTTTCCAACAACTCCGAGCCCCATGTTTGTGGTTTGTGGTTTAGTGCGACTTTAGTTTGAAAAAGGTGTTTGAGTACGAATCTGACATATACAAGAAATTACAAAAACAGGGGCATATCGTTGATTCGATTCGGG